AAATCACTGAGCTAAAGGGAAAAGTCAAATTCAGAACTACCTAGGGCAAACCTGCCTTCCATTTTATTCAAAGTCATCCCTCTGCTTACTGAGATAAATGCATAGCTGACTGCCTCATTTGGAAAAGCTAATCAGAAACTCTTATCTACCCAGGCCTTGGAAGCCCACGCCCCGCTTTGAGCTGTCCCATGTTTGCTTCCAGTTGTCCCACCTTTCCATACCAATGCAATGTTCACCTCACATATATTGATTGATGACTTACATCTCCCTAAAATGCATAAAACTAAACTTCCCTCTGACCACCTTCGGCACATGTCAGCAGGACCTCCTGAGGTTGTGTCACAGGTGCGCATCCTCAAGGCAAAATCTTTCTAAATTAACTGAGACCCGTCTCAGATATTCAGAGTTCACAGGTAGTTCATTCTAAAGGCTGGCAGTCTTCAGGCACCCCCAAAAGCCAATGTTTCAGATTAAATCCAAAGTCAGGAAATCTTCCTTCTTACTTGAGGAAGGGTCGGCCTTTTTGCTGTAGTCAGGCCTTCAGTTGATAGAATGAGGCCCACTCACATGAGGGAGGACAATCTACTTTACTCCATCTACTAATTCAAATGTTAATCTCATCCAAAAACACCATCACAGACACACCTAGAATAAAGTTTAAACAAATACCTAGGCACCCATTGTCCCAGTCAAGCTGACACATAAAATAACCATCACATTATTAGACAAAAAAAGCTATTAAATATATGAATTTTTAAACAGCAGAATGTTATAAAAATATATTTATGTTATAAAATAAAACATAAAACCAGCCTTGCTGGCAGCTTGAGGATATTCAGTGGCATAAAACCACAAGCACTTAGCCAAATACTTTCCTTATTTGTAATTTCAAAAGAGGAGAGTAAGTTAAATAAAGCTTTTGAAAAAGACCAGGCCCAAACTTTAGTTAAATAATAAAAGCACATTACATAACAATTGTTTTGTATAATAAAATTCCAAACTGTATGCTTTGGCAACTGACTGGAGAGGCTGAAGAGCATCTACTGTCATAAAACCACAAGCCCTCAGTCTGATGATTCATGTCTCCACCTGTCATTTTTAAGAAAATTTATGAATCAAGACCAGAATATAAACACCTGAAACCTACTTACATATTTTCTCCTTTTTCTTTGCCCCAAAATTAGGCTCAGTGGTTTGGAATTTTAAAAGCTCAAATCAAGAATGACTTTCCAAGGAAAGGTATCCATGGTTCCATTAAATTGGAAACTGACACTGACCTATTGTCCTCTGTCCATTTTCATCCCCTTGGCCCCCAAAAAACTGATAATTGAGAAGAAATTACCATACTGAAAGAGTGAGTGACTCATCCAGATTACCAAAAGGAATTTGAGTTGCTGCATCACAACGGGGAAAAGACTACTTGTGTAACTGAGGAGATTCACTGGGGCATCGCTTAGCACTCCCGAGTCCAGTTCTAAAGCTCAATGGAAAACTGATGCAACTCCATGAGAACATCACCTGCAAGGACTCAGATCCTTTGGCAATGAACGCTTGAGTCACCCTCCCAGGTAAATATTCACCAGAAACTTGAGCTGCCTGCTAAGATTAAGGAGAACATGGAGTTGATGTCACAAGAAGAAAAGTGAGAATGCTTTCTCCCTGTGATTTTCATGATTATTGAAAAAGTACTGGTGATCATTAAGGTTATAATTTGGGTTACAGATGGGATTATGATTGGTTTAACATCACCCCATGATGATATGTTGACTGACAGGCTTTTGTATCTTCCTTATGTTGTGAAGAGTGTTTTCTCATCTGAGTAAATGGCAACAGTAGATGAATTTTAGCGATTGACAATACGGATAAAGTGTGTTGGTTATTTTTGTTTTGTCCACCTAGATATATCCTGTAACCTATTCTGCATGCTATGTGACCTAGGAGGCTGAGGCTTGTAGACTACATTATCTGGACTTCCTTGCCTTTAGCTAATAGTTGGGTTTAGCCCGTGGTAGGCAACTGCAAGAAATCCAAGAGTGGGAGGGGAGATGCCAACCCCATCAAAAGCCTTACTTGTCACTGTGTCTCTGGCAGTGGCTTTCTCACTCAACAATTATAGCTGCTGGTTAGTGGTCCTTCTTATTAACTGCTAGCCAATAACACTATTTCTTCCCCTTGCCACTGAAATTCCAGGTTTCCTAAAAACTTCCCGTTCTTGCTGATCCAAACAGCCATGTGGTATCTTCTCTCTGCCTACATATATGCAAGTGGTTCCTTTATTAGAGTATGACTACTTGAACTATTTGATTTAAATTCTGTTTGCTGTTAGGTCCCAAGTTGATATTGTGGTATATTTTTAATATCCTTGTGTAGCAGCTTCCTGTGGTGGTCTCCCTGTAACCCCTCAGCTCTCACCTCTAAATCTCAAGGCTGCTTACTAAAAACATCCATGACTCTTGGCTCTGCAGAGCTAAGTCTCACCTTTGCTTCTACAGGGCTACTTACTACAAAAGACATGACTCCCTGCCTTAGGGGCTTTTTTTCCCCTCACCTTTGGAGCATGCTGGACATCAAACAAGGCAAGGTGGAGGTGACAGAGATTTATATCACCGCTGGGGGAAGTCCTTTAACAAGTATGGTCGGGTATTTGGTGGTTAAATATCCCCAGCCTCTTCACCCTACACTTGGGATGAATGTGAGGTATATGATCTACACAGCCTCACACAGGGTCCCCCTGGGACTTACCTCCAATTGCCCACAGTGGTAACCTGCTAGTTTGTTCTCCCCACCCTTGATTGGCTGCCTTCCTTATATGTCTCATGATCCCACACCCCTACCAGTGCTATCTGGGACTCCCTCTCAAGTAAGCACTTTCTACTCACAAGTGTGTCTCAGGGTCTATTTCCAGGGAAAGCATACTTGAACACCTTGCATGCTAATTTACCCTCACACTTGAATGTCTGGCCAAAAGTAATGTAGGCTCAAAGTTATTTTGCACCAACAATTGAAAGGCAATCCTGCTGGGCGCGGTGGCTCAAGCCTGTAATCCCAGCACTTTGGGAGGACGAGGCGGGTGGATCACGAGGTCAAGAGATCGAGACCATCCTGGTCAACATGGTGAAACCCCGTCTCTACTAAAAATACAAAAAATTAGCTGGGCATGGTGGTGCGTGCCTGTAATCCCAGCTACTCAGGAGGCTGAGGCAGGAGAATTGCCTGAACCCAGGAGGCGGAGGTTGTGGTGAGCCGAGATCGCGCCATTGCACTCCAGCCTGGGTAACATGAGTGAAACTCCGTCTCAAAAAAAAAAAAAAAAGAAAGGCAATTCTTTATTTCCTGGGCATTTCTAGTTGCTTCATTAATTCTCTTTCTCTTGAAAGAACGCCCTTCCCACTCTACAAACCACACCCATTTTAAATTCACTTTTGATTCCAACTTTTAATCACTGTCTCCTCCAAACATCAAGGGAGACAAATCTAGACCTCTAAGTGGGCTCCTGAAAGTCCCCTCCTGATAGAAATTTAGGGCTGCCGGGCCTCTCCACGTGTCCACTCAGCTGCCCTTCCAGCTTCTCTAAACAGGGCCCCTCTTGACTGCAGCACCCCCAGACTCTGCAACATTAGTAAACACCCTTTCAAGGGGTAGTAGCCAGAGTTCACCTGCTTGTGACCTCTGGTAGCACACAGATGGTTCAGAAGTCAAGAAACCATGTGAACGAAAGCCATATCCAACCAAAAGCAACACAACTTCTATTTGTAATGGTTGCATCAGGGGAAGGATTTATCAATCCACAATATTTTCTTGGATTTTCAATCCTACACAGAGAGCAGAGGTAGGTCAATGGTATGGTGTGTTGGCAAAGGCCAGCTCCACTCTGGTGTGGCTTGTGCCAGCGTCCACAGCAACTCTGTCAGATCCATATCATTTCTTTGATTTCCAACCTGTTTACTGAGTAAAATGCTCAGCATGGATTTAGCGGCTAGGCTGGATCTGAAGTATACATCCACCTTCTTCCTGATGCTCCATGCAGATATACTGGGACCGCCTTCAGAGTGTCCTTGAGCCATGACTGCTTGACTCCATAGATGGCTTCAGGAAGACAGCACAGCAGAGAGACATGTGAAAGCTGATGGAATCCAGAATTACCTGAAAGAGAAAACACCAAGCAATACTGGAAACCCCTCTGCACTTCCCCTTCTTAACACAGACACACACACAGACACACACACAGACACACACACACACACACAGACACACACAGACACACACACACACACTTGACCAAAAGAGTTGGCTTTGCATGAACATATTTCTAGAATCTCTATGTTGGTCCGTGGATGTGTCTATCAATTCCTGTTTCATTTCATCCAAGGCTGGATGCAGAGATTGACAAGTAAGTGGGAAAATCGACCTGGGACTAATTCCCTGATTGGAACATGGAGGATAAAGTTGCTGATCTCTACCTAGGGGACTTGGCAAGATGGAAATTCGACCTGGGACTAATCCCTGATTGGAACATGGCAGACAAAGTTGCTGATCACTACCCAGGGAACCTGGCTAGATGCAGTGGATGCTGCTGCTAATCTCCACAAAGAAGAAATTTTAATGAAGGAATGAAGGGATTTTGCATAAGCAAGGGACAACCTCTGAGGCTAGGAGAGCTGAGCATTTTCATCTAGGAGAGAGATATGCAGATGGCACTCACCCAGAGGATGTATCTGCTTCCTCACCCAGCAACTTCCCTCACCCTATTGAGCCCTGAACCAGAAGGAACCCAGGTGATGGTGGCCAGCGTTTGAATCTTTTTTTAAATTTTTTTAATTGCATTTTAGGTTTTGGGGTACATGTGAAGAACATGCAAGATTGTTGCATAGGTACACACATGGCAGCATGATTTGCTGCCTTCCTCCCCTTCACCTATATCTGGCATTTCTTCCCTTGCTATCTCTCCCCAACTCCCCACTCCCCGCTGTCCCTCTCATATTTCCCCCCAACTGACCACAGTGTGTGATGCTCCCCTCCCTGTGTCCATGTGTTCTCATTGTTCAACACCCGCCTATGAGTGAGAACATGCAGTGTTTGATTTTCTGTTCTTGTGTCAGTTTGCTGAGAATGATAGTTTCCAGGTTCATCCATGTCCCCACAAAGGACACGAACTCATCATTTTTGATGGCTACATAATATTCCATGGTGTATATGTGCCACATTTTCCCTGTCCAGTCTATCATCGATGGGCTTTGGAGTTGGTTCCAGGTCATTTCTTTTGTAAACAGTGCTGCAATGAACATTCGTGTGCATGTGTCCTTATAGTAGAACGATTTATAATCCTTTGGATATATACCCAGTAACGGGATTGCTGGGTCAAATGGAATTTCTATTTCAAGGTCCTTGAGGAATCACCACACTGTCTTCCACAATGGTTGAACTAATTTACACTCTCACCAACAGTGTAAAAGTGTTCCTATTTCTCCACATCCTCTCTAGCATCTGTCATCTCCAGATTTTTTGATGGTTGCCATTCTAACGGGCATGAGATGGTATCTCAATGTTGTTTTGATTTGCATTTCCCTAATGACCAGTGATGATGAGCATTTCTTCATATATTTGCTGGCCTCATGTATGTCTTCTTTTGTAAAGTGTCTGTTCATATCCTTTGCCCATTTTTGAATGGGCTTCTTTGTTTTTTTCTTGTAAATCTGTTTTAGTTCTTTGTAAATTCTGGATATCAGCTGTTTGTCACATGGGTAGACTGCAAAAATTTTTTCCCATACTGTTGGTTGCTGATTCACTCTAATGGCAGTTTCTTTTGCTGTGCAGAAGCTGTGGAGTTTGATTGGGTCCCATTTGTCTATTTTGGCTTTTGTTGCCAATGCGTTTGGTGTTTTGGTAATAAAGTCCTTGCCTATGCCTATGTCCTGAATGGTTTTGCCTAGATTTTCTTCTAGGGTTTTTATGGTGTTAGGTCTTATGTTTAAATCTTTAATCCATCTGGAGTTAATTTTAGTGTAAGATGTCAGGAAGGGGTCCAGTTTCTGTTTTCTGCACATGGCTAGCCAGTTTTCCCAACACCATTTATTAAACAGGGAATCCTTTCCCCATTGCTTGTTTTTGTCAGGTTTGTCAAAGATCAGATGGTTGTAGATATATTGTGTCATTTCTGAGGCCTCTATTCTGTTCCATTGGTCTATATCTCTGTTTTGGTACCAGTACCATGCTCTTTTGATTACTACAGCCTTGTAGTATAGTTTGAAGTCTGGTAGTGTGATGCCTCCGGCTTTGTTCTTTTTGCTTAGAATTGACTTGGCTATGCGGGCTCTCTTTTGGTTCCATATGAAGTTTAAGGTGGTTTTTTCCAGTTCTGCGAAGAAGGTCATTGGTAGCTTGATGGGGATAGCATTGAATCTGTAAATTACTTTGGGCAGTATGGCCATTTTCAGGATATTGATTCTCCCTAACCATGAACATGGAATGTTTCTCCATCTGTTTGTGTCCTCTCTTATTTCGTTGAGCAGTGGCTTGTAGTTCTCCTTGAGAGGTCCTTTACGTTCCTTGTTAGTTGTATTCCTAGGTATTTTATTCTCTTTGTGGCAATTGTGAATGGCAGTTCATTCTTGATTTGGCTCTCTTTAAGTCTGTTACTGGTGTTTAGGAATGCTTGTGATTTTTGCACATTGATTTTGTGTCCTGAGACTTTGCTGAAGTTGCTTATCAGTTTCAGGAGATTTTGGGCTGAGATGATGGGTTCTTCCAGATATACAATCATGTCGTCTGCAAATAGAGAAAATTTGACTTCCTCCTTTCCCATTTGAGTACTGTTTATTTCTTTTTCTTGCCTGATTGCTCTGGCTAGAACTTCCAGTACTATATGGAACAGGAGTGGTGAGAGAGGGCAACCTTGTCTAGTGTCAGATTTCAAAGGGAATGCTTCCAGTTTTTGCCTATTCAGTATGACATTGGCTGTTGGTTTGTCGTAAATAGCTTTTATTATTTTGAGATATGTTCCGTCAATACCTAGCTTATTGAGGGTTTTTAGCATAAAGGGCTGTTGAATTTTGTCAAAGGCCTTCTCTGCATCAATTGAGATAATCATGTGGTTTTTGTCTTTGGTTCTGTTTATGTGGTGGATTACGTTTATAGACTTGCGTATGTTGAACCAGCCTTGCATCCCCGGGATGAAGCCTACTTGATCATGGTGGATAAGCTTTTTGATGTGCTATTGCAATCGGCTTGCTAGTATTTTATTGAAGATTTTTGCGTCTGTGTTCATCATGGATATTGGCCTGAAGTTTTCTTTTCTTGTTGAGACTCTGCCGGGTTTTGGTATCAGGATGATGTTGGTCTCATAAAATGATTTGGGAAGGATTCGCTCTTTTTGGATTGTTTGGCGTAGTTTCAGAAGGAATGGTACCAGCTCCTCTTTGTATGTCTGGTAGAATTCGGCTGTGAAACCGTCTGGACCTGGGCTTCTTTTGGCTGGTAGGCTCTTAATTGCTGCCTCAAATTAAGACCTTGTTATTGGTCTATTCAGGGTTTCAACTTCTTCCTGGTTTAGGTTTGGGAGGATGCAAGTGTCTAGGAATTTATCAATTTCTTCCAGGTTTACTAGTTTATGTGCATAGAGTTGTTTGTAATAATCTCTGATGATGGTTTGAATATCTGAGGAATCTGTGGTGATATCCCCTTTATCGGTTTTTATTACATCAATTTGATTATTCTCTCTTTTCTTTTTTATTAATCTGGCTAGTGGTATATTTCATTGATCTTTTCAAAAAACCAGCTCCTGGATTTATTGACTTTTTGAAGGGTTTTTTGTGTCTCTATCTCCTCCAGTTCTGCTCTGATCTTAGTTATTTCCTGTCTTCTGCTAGACTTTGAGTTTTTTTGATCTTACTCCTCTAGCCCTTTCAATTTTGACAATAGGGTGTCAATTTTTGATCTCTCCTTACTTCTCATGTGGGCATTTATTGCTATATATTTTCCTCTAGAGACTGCTTTAAATGTGTCCCCAAGATTCTGGTACATTGTGGCTTCATTCTTATTGGTTTCAAATAACATCTTTATTTCTGTCTTCATTTCATTGTTTATCCAGTCAACATCCAGCATTTGAATCTTGAGGACAGTTGGCACTAGGTTCTGAGGGCAGTTATGAGTCACCATAGCAGCTATGACTTCACTTGGTTCTGAACCAATCAGGCTCTGGGACTCAGGGAAAGAGAGAGAGTGTGCCGAGGAAGGAGGTCGTGTTTCCTCTCACTGTTTACCCTCTGGTCCAGATTTTTCTTCAAAAGAAATCTGAGTGGTCTGACAGGTAAAATATCCTGATATACCAAGATTATACAGCATCCTTTTGTGCCATTACCTAACCAACCTATCTGTTAAACCCCAACCCCGTTTGGTAATGGGGGGAGGATATGGGAGAGTCATTTGTTCAAACTGATACAGAGACACTATAGAGGAGTGGGTAGGAGCACAAGGCTTCAGATACAGGTTTTCCCAGTTCCAGTCTCACCTCTCTGGAAGTCCTTTAATCTTGCTTGGGAGCCCAAAATTGAGAACACAGTGAGCATCCACCCCTGGCCTTGGTAATGTGCCAGATTCAAATAAAATACCACACAGCACTTTTTGAGGTGAGACAGGGTCACTTTTTGAGGTGAGACAGGGTGAGTACAATCTTTAAATCACTGAGATTACATTCCCAGGATGGAAACTCAGCAGGATGGGCCTCAGAAACAGAAGCTAGGTAGCATTTGAGAATGTACAGTTTATTTCTTCCATGGAGGGTTGGAGTAAGATCCATACCTGCTTCACCAATGATTTTCAAAGGAGGCAGAGGTGAGAAGAAGACAGCTCTACAAAAGAGCAACATAAAATCCAGTTAAAATTAGTGTGGATATAAGAATCCTCACTAATGACTACTGCTGTACTACTGTTGGTAGCTGTGACTACTGCTGGTAGCTGAGTATGTGTGTGTTAGTGTGTGTGTGCGCACGCATGCGACATGTGGCTGTGTGGGTGTGTGGCAAGTGAGGAAGAGGTCCCAGGTCCACTTGATTACCTGAAAATCATTATCCTTTTCAGGCTTTCTTAGTTAAGCTGTCTTCCTGAGGTTGTTTGGAGCCGCTGCGTCATGGATAAAGAACTCCCTAAAGCCGCTCCCAGCGAGGCCGCACTGAACATCAAGAAGCCTGACAAAGCCTTCAAACGCAAGAAGCCCACCAAAAATGTGCTGATCTTTTTAATCAACAGACAACTGGGCAGGCACAGAAATGACATCGACCTGTCAAGGTGGCTGTGGATGCTGTCATAAAGCAACTCCAGGGTGAACATGAAAAAGTCATGGGGCTTATGTGCTGAGGCCTGCCCAGAATTTTGAGAAATTAAATATAATTAGAACAATAAAGTCATCCCATGTTTGAGCCACTAAAACAGAGTCTGTCATTTCAGTCCTTTAAGTTGGATGTGTGTTTGCTGACAGGGTGTTCTTGGGTTACACTGGAAGGGATTTCTGTTCATCCTAACACACTGTGCAGAGGTGCTCAGACACAGGGGAGAGGGTGAGATCATGCTGCACACCAGATCTCCTTCACCATCAATCTGAAAATCTCTGTGAAGTTGAAGTGATGTAGTACTTGGCATTCAAGGACCAAAGACTCTTCTCCCTAGCCATTTTGGAGAGACAGCCCTGGTGTTCCCCTCTAAAACCTAATGCTTGTCCTAGTGAAAAGACATTGTTTAAGAGTAGACCAACAGCTGGGCTGGGAGTTTAGGGTATGTTTTAACATTGCAGATATCATGTTCACAGAGCCTACTAGAGGCAATTGCTCTGCTTATTGTCCCCAGGAAAGTAGAATGCCCTGGTGGGTTTTTTTTTTTTTTTTTTTTTAGCATGTCAAACAAACCTTTAGGCTACCAATCAAAGAGAATTAATTTTCCTGAAGGGAAGCCACCTGATAGTCCAACAAGACACCTTAACTCCCATTCAAAAAGCTCTGTCCCTAAGGAATGTGCTGAGGAAGTCACATACTCACTCCAAGAAACCTGAAATGGAAATAATGTGGGCAATTGATCACTAAGAAGTAAGAACTAAAGGTGAATTGGGGGCAGGGAGAGCAAAGAAGTCAGAGCCGTGGTGGATATTGGCAAGCCTAGGTTAGGAGTAAAATGAAATTTACATAAAGTGAACCACAAAAATGTTAACGTATATAAAATCACAATGTATAAATTTATGAAGGGAGAGAAGGAGACTATTTCTTAGAAAGTGTTGCAGCCTGCAAGGCAGCCATGCCACAGACTGGGAAGTGTGCCTCTGGCCAAGACCATAGACCAGTACTTGGAAGGAGGAGGGATTGGGGCAGGAGCTTTATGCTGAATGAGTTGGCTGAACATAGAAATTCTACAAGTTACAGGAGGAGCCATAAATATTCATAAGGAGGATCCTTATGCATTTGTTTACAAGAAACATCCCTGTAACATACCACCCATGTTCACCTTGGGGTGCAGACGTAACATTTAACTATAAGAGATTTAGGCCCTATACGGCAAGAGCTCTTTCAGGGCACATAGGCACACAATCTCCCAGCCAGAGCCAGTCCATGGTGGGTGGTTTCCTTTTTTTTCTTTTTTTTTTTGAAACAGAGTCTTGCTCTGTTGCCCAAGCTGGAGGGCAATGGCTTGATCTCTGCTGACTGCAACCTCTGCCTCCCGGGTTCAAGTGATTCTCCTGCCTCAGCCTCCAAGTAGCTAGGATTACAGGCCCCCACCACCACACCCGACAAATTTTGCATTTTTAGTAGAGACAGGGTTTCACCAAGTTGGCCAGGCAAGGCTCAATCATCTCCTGACCTCAGGTGATCCTCCTGCCTCGGCCTCCCAAAGTGCTGGGATTACAGGCGTGAGCCACCACGACCAGCGGTGATTTCTTATTAGGAGAGACTTACTGTAATCAATCTATTGCCCAATGAAAGCTGTAGTTGTGGCTGTGGTACAGGAGAGTGAGGGTCAGTTAGTCAGCATCTGGCAATAAGTGAGTTGCAATTGTTTCAATATTGCTTATCTCTAGGCCAGTAGTCTTAGCCCAAATATTTTAACCTCCAAACTACCCAAGTCCTATTTTGGAGAGAAGGAAAGGAGAAAATCTGTGAATCATTTTATGGGGGGCATAAGAATGGGGAGAGTCATTCTCTGTCCCATCCTGGCAATGGAGCATGGCACTATAAGTTGCTTACAGGTCCAGAAGTAGAGCCATATCCCATAGGACAGCCCTTCAACCTTGCAGGCTTCTGCTTCCTATATAACGCTACAGTTGACTTTTCCACAGGCCATTCCAGCACTGTACGAGGCCAGATGCCTCTGGGTGATGGTAAGACTGGTAGATCACACAGGTCTGAGCATGTGTACCATCTTCGGTTGCCATAAAAAGAGTTATTGAACAAAAGTGATGTTTTGAAGAAATGGCAGTGTTGGGGAAGCAGATCAGCAATACAGAAATGTATGGGTAACTGTAGAGGAACTGCCTGTTTACTCACCTCACCTCCCAGCAAAGAAAATGAAACTTTAAGCTAAAGGACTTCATTTGTCCCTCACATAAGCTTGATTCTGAATTTTGGATTTGTCATTCTCATGTCTGTATGGCTGTTGCGTAAAATAAGTAGAGGCCAAATTCAAATTACTTTGTCCCATAACCCCTCCCAATGTCTAAGCCACGTCCATTCTTCTGGGTTCTTTCATCTCTGCTCCCTGTTATCAATCCTAGAGTTAGCCCTACATGTTCTTTGATCACTGCTAGATAAGAAAATGTCTTTTGTGACCTTAATATTCCACTTGGTCAGTGTTCAGTGATTTGTACATCCTGTCCAAGATAATCATCACAACTCTAATCTTTCAATACCAAAGCTTCTCACTTCCCCCAGCTCAGGCTGGGACCGGGCTGCAGCCTGCAGTAGGAAAGGGCAGTGACCCTTCCACTTGTACTCAGACAACATCTGCACCCCTACCCTTTGCAAATACTTGTCCACCAGAACCTGTTGAACAGGGGGAAAGGCAAGAGGTCTGGGTCAGTACACATCTCCCTTATCTGGATGGAGTTTAACAACTGTTTAAATCTGATTTCGTTTTCTTCAGTGGATGCTTTAATGGCTGTTCAGGGCCTAAATCACTCCTCAAGTCCCTACAATTTCTGACATAAATCCTCCACACATAGATCTCTTGAGAAAACTTCCTTTAGAATACTCCAGACCAAACCAAATATTCACTCTCACTCTCTCTTCTCCCCTTCTCTTCCTTTTTCCCCTTTCTCTTCTCTCCTCTCCTTTCTGCTGTCCTACTTCCTTTTTAAGTTTCTTTGTGATTCTAACTTTTGAGAAGATGATTCAAGCCCTTCTTGTGGCCCCTATGAAGTGCCATCACTCTAGTAAATTTGAGGTAAAGAATTTTTTCTTCTTGTAAACTGAGCACACTATTCAACCTCTGTAAGTGGCCCTCTCTGCTCTCCAAGTCACCCAAATCCTATAATGTGTGTACATACTCACACATGGATGAGTGGTCAGAGCTCACATGATTGTTTGTGATTGCCTTCTCCAGTCCTCCACTGATAGGCAACTCCTTGCAACATGTGGAGCACTTGGTACCAATTTGGAAGCATTTGCTAAGTCTGAGACCAAATAGAGTTATACTTCAACATCCTGCTGCCTTTTGGATACCTTTGCTATCCATGTGTGCCTGTATCCAATATATGTACATACAAACACACACACACATACACACACACAGCTTGACATGTTTTTCTTACTATTTGGTACATACTTCTGTGCTATTTTTTTCTCACTCAACTATTATAATTGTGAAATTTACCTATGTTAGTGTGTATAGCTCTATATCCTACATTTCAGCTCTTCTCTTGTATGTCAATGTACTGTGGCAGGTTGGACATACCCGTCTACGCTTCACTGTATATGTTGTCTGTACCTGCCACATCATTGGAAAAAAGAAGCTCAATGATTGGTAGGCAAGTTTTGGATTTTGGAGGCACTATATTCTACACTGGGGTGTGTTCTGTTATCCCAAAATCCCAGTAGTCTATGTAAGACTACTACTTTTCACTGGGGACATTTTCTGTACATGACAATCAATCTAATTATTCATATGTCCCACTTCTTACCCAATGGTCTTATGGGCACAGAAACATGGACTTTCCATAATGAAGGCTGATCTGGCTACCATTACTGGTGAGGTCCTAACCTGACAAATAGCAAAGAACCACACTATGCCCCAGATATGGCAATGTCCCCTGGGCAATCTTGCCAGCAACTTGGTGGCAGGATGGTTACATTGGACCTCTTCCATTGTGGATGTGTATCTCAGTCCATTCAGGCTGCTATAAATGGGGTAATTATATACCCCCCAAAAATATTTCTCATAGCTCTGGAGGCTGGGAAGTACAAGAATAAGATGCTGGAAGATTCAGTGTCTGGTGAGAGCCTGCTTCCTGGTTCAAACATGGTATCCTCTCACTGAGTCCTTACATGGCGGCATGAGCAAGGGGACTTTCTTAGGTCTCTTTTATATAGACACTATTCCCATTCATTAGGGCTCCACCCTCATGACTTAATCACCTCCTCAAAAACTTTACCTGTTAATATTATTACCTTGGGGATTAAGATTTCAGCATATGAACTTGGTGGGGAGATGGGACACAAATATCCAAATTGTGGCAAGGAGGCAGATATTTGTCCTCATCATAATAGACACATATTCAGGGTATGGATTGCCTTCCCTATCCATAATACTTATACAAGTATCACCATATGTAGACTCACAGAATGCCACATACTTCATTATGGTATTCCACATAGCATTGTTTTTGATCACACATCAGAGGAAGTTCAGCATTGGTCTTATCATATAACCCATCACCCAAAACTGCTTGGCACAATTGAAAGGTGGATAGACTTAATGAAAACTCAGGAACCCCCCTGGGTGACAGCACATTGAAAGGATGGAGTTCTATCTAAGAGGATGCTGTATGATACTGTATATTCTTTAAAACAGAGTCTATTATATGATGTTGTTTCCCCTATAGATAGAACACATGTGTCCAGGAATTAAGGGGTGGAAGAAAGGAGCTATTTCTCTCACTAGGAGGTCTCATAGATTTTTTTGTTTCTTCTTGTCACTTTGAGCTCTGCTGATTTGGAAGTGTCAGTTCCCAAGGAGGAATGTTTCCATCAGGAATAATATGAGTGGTTCTACTGAACAGGAAGATACGACTCCCACCTGGCCATTTTGAATACCTTATGCCATAGAAAAAATAGTCAAGCAGGGGATTATGTTACTGGCTGAGGTGATTTACTTTGATTATTAAGGAAAAATCAGACGCAGCTACATTATAAAAGAGGGAATGGGGGAGGGCCGTATTTGGAATCAATTTAGGATTTTCTTGGGTTTCCCTTGGTGCTTTTATGTTCAATTCTAAAAGGTAACGAAAAGCTACAGCAATTAAAAAAAATAGGCAGTACCGTGGATGATTCAGATATCTCAGAAATGAAGATCTGTGTCACATCAACAGCTGAGGCATGGGAGGGAACAAGGGATGGGTAACCAAATAAGAAAATTATAATTACTTTTAAATGTGTCTGAACCTAATAATATTATATCCTTAAAACACACAGATGTGTCCGGGCGTGGTGGCTCAGGCTTGTAATCCCAGCACTTTAAGAGGCTGAGGCGGGTGGATCACAAGGTCAGGAATTCAAGACCAGCCTGGCCAAGATGGTGAAACCCCGTCTCTATTAAAAATACAAAAACTAGCTGGGAGCAGTGGCAGGCATCTGCAATCCCAGCTACTCGGGAGGCTGAGGCAGGAGAATCACTTGAACCCGGCCGGTGGAGGTTGAAGTGAGCTGAGATCATGCCACTGCACTCCAGTCTGGGCAACAAGAGTGAAACTCTGTCTCAAAAATGAACAAACAAAAAACCAAAACCACAGATGATGAGAGCACAACAAATAGAAATATACAAATCCACAAATACAGTAGATTATAAGATAAATAATCTTAGGAAATGGAGAGAACAACCAGAAATAAAACATTAGGAACAGTATAAAAAAATTTAACACACCCCAATCTCTGAGCACTTTCAGCTTTAAGTTTATTCATTTTAGTGTCCTGATTCTAACACTCTTTCAGTCCCACTGCAAATTCCCATTCATTGATTCTATCACATTTACGCAAACCTATGATGTCCTCTCTCCTCTCCTTACAGGGATGAAATTCCATGTTAATCATTGTAATCACTGGGTTGCTGACCATCTCAATTACTGACCTTTCTCTTTCTTGGTCATAGACAATTGACAAAAGTACAACTCTGGTCAAACATAAGACTATGCTTTTCTCTGTACGTGCATCAGGTAGATGAATTTGGAAGGAAACTAACAACAGAATATGCATACTTGCCACTAGTTCACATGGATGAATACTCTTACTCCTATCTAAGGCCATATCTTTAACTTGCACAATAAATCTGAAATCTTAGCTTCTCAACAGCATCACTCCACCAATTCTTCTTTCTCTGATTCTTTGGTCATCTGTTCTTTCTCTCCTTTGCACCAAATTTTCCTTGTCTGTATTTTGCATCTCCAATGAACTATTTCTCTTTTTTAAATTTGTTTTTGGTTTTCGTTTTTTAATTTTTCATTTCTTTTCTATGAAGTCCCCATGCATATAAAATTTAAACATTGCACACATTTTGTGTACATACATTTTGTGTCCCCAGATAACTCTTTCTCTGTTTTATTCATTTCTTTATTTGTTGTTGTTTTTCATTTCTTTTGTTTTTCTTTTTTTTTTTTTTTTCATTTCTTTTCTATGAACCCCTCACACATGTAAAATTCAGAATATTAACATCAATCAGGATTGTAAACTTTTTCTCCTGTTTGTCTGTCTTTTGTCAGTTTAATTCACAGGCCCCAAAACTGAACCTAAGAAGATAAAGGAAAAGTTTGTCTCCCCAACAATATCAATAGAAGTTGAAACATTTGGCAAATTATAGCATTCATTCATGATAAAAAAATTTCAGCAAACCATAAATAAAAAGGAACTTTTCCAACTTGATAAAGGCTATCTACAGAAAACCTGCATATAACATCAGCCTTAGGGAAATGCCAGTTAAAATCAAGGAAATACCACTTTACAACACTAAAATGGTTAAAGTAAAGGAACGTTTAAAAATTTTAGTGAAGATGTGGAAAAATTAGAATCCTCATACACTGCTGGTGGAGCAGCCACTTTTGGAAAACAGTCTGATAGTTCCCCAAACAGGTAAACATAGAGTTACCAAATGACCCCAAAATTCCACTCATATGTATACACCCATGACAAGTAAAACATATGTACACACAAAAACTTGTGTAATAATCATAGTGTCATTAATCACAATAATATAAAAGTGGAAACAACCTATAAGTACATCAACTTATGGATAGATTAATAAAATGTGATATATCCATACAATGAAATGTTATTCAGCAATAAAAAGAAATGAAATAATGATACATGCTCAACATGGATGAACTTTGAAAACAGTATGCTAAGTGAAAGAAGCCAGACACAAAGGACAACATATGGTATGATTCTATTTGCACAAAAAATCCAGAATAGGCAAATCTATAAAGAAAAAAGATTCATGGTTATCTAAGGCTGGGTTTACCAAAGAGAACCAGGGAAAGAAATAGTTAAGAAGATCCCGGGCCGGGCGCGGTGGCTCAAGCCTGTAATCCCAGCACTTTGGGAGGCCGAGGCGGGTGGATCACGAGGTCAAGAGATCGAGACCATCCTGGTCAACATGGTGAAACCCCGTCTCTACTAAAAATACAAAAAATTAGCTGGGCATGGTGGCGTGTGCCTGTAATCCCAGCTGCTGGGGAGGCTGAGGCAGGAGAATTGCCTGAACCCAGGAGGCGGAGGTTGCGGTGAGCCGAGATCGCGCCATTGCACTCCAGTCTGGGTAACAAGAGCGAAACTCCATCTCAAAAAAAAAAAAAAAAGAAGAAGATCCCTCCTGGGATCAGAACAAACCCCAAAGACTTTCTGTGAAAACTACATTTGTAAAGGAAATGAAATTTAAATGGATCAGGCTATAGAACAATGTATACTCTAAGCCATTGTGAAAACCAAGAGCTCGATCAGAAGGCAATTAGTGAGCCTAACAGGTGTGATCACAGAAAAAGACAGTCAAAGATAGCCCTACTAAAACCACTGTCATCTCAGGGTGACTGGGGACATGCTCAAGTCCATGTCCTCAAAGGAACAACATCAGGGGCTTTCTGCTGGGAAGGGAAACAACTTCAATAAAATAGTCTAGCCAAGTCACTAAGCAAATAAGCAAGCAACAACAACAATAAGTCCACAGGAGATCAATATTCAGAATTACTACAATATATTATCTAAAATGTCTAGTTTTCAACACAACAAGGAGGGTGATGTCAGTGAAAGTGGCAGAGTAACAACAACCAAAATTTATCTCCTCCAAAATATCAAGAAGGATAATGGCAGTAATGGTTACAATCAACATTTTCAGAACTATAGACATAACCTAAAGGCTTATAGCTAGCCAGAAAATATTTATTCATGAAAACATGGCTGGATCAATAAAAAGAGCAAGCTTTATGGCATTTAATTTGCCGTAGTTTCATTCTCCACTCTCTAGCTCTGCCATAACCTAAGAAAATAACAGGTCATGTTGAAGTTTGTGAAGACCAGCAGCCTGAGAGCTGATAAAGTTGCAGAACAGAGCTGAAACTCTTACAAAGCTTAATTCCCAAAGAATTGTCATTATTTGACCTACCTGGTAGCTCCTTGGAAGATCCCACTCACAAGACTCCTTGTTTTTGAACTGACTTGAGGTTCACCTAGTACAAAAAGCTTTTTCACTAGGGACATTTGTAAAGGATTGTTTTTACTATACTTTAAGTTCTGGGGTACATGTGCAGATCATACAGGATTGTTACATAGGTATACACATGCCATGGTGGTTTGCTGCATCCATCCCCCCATCATCTACATTAGGTATTTTTCCTAATGTTATCCGTCCCCAATCCCCCCACCCCTTACTATCCCCCCACTAGCTCCCCCACCCCCCAGCAGGCCTCGGTGTGTGATGTTCCCCTCCCTGTGTCCATGTGATCTCTTTGTTCAACACCCACTTATGAGTGAGAACATGTGGTGTTCGGTTTTCTGTTCTTGTGTCACTTTGCTGAGAATGATGGTTTCCAGCTTCATCCATGTCCCTGCAAAGTACATGAACACATCTGTAAAGGATGTTTTATAATGATAAAAGGGTCAATCCATCAGGAAGATCAATGTATAAAAGCAGCTTTACTTCTATTCACTAACAATGTAACATTGGAACATGAAATTAAGAAAACAATTCCACTTACAATAGCATCACAGAGAAGAATATATTTAGGAGTAAGTTTAACAGAAATGCAAGAACAAAGTTGAAATAATTACACTACCCGACTTCAAGTTGCAATAATTAAGATAGTGTAGCATTGCTTTAAGACTAGACGAAGTTGTTCTATAGGGAAAAGAAAGTCTTCCCAACAAATGGTGCTGAGATTGAAGAGGGAGACCCAGGCATCTCAGATCAACTTCCTTTTTTTCATTCCTAAGACTGTAAACTTCCTCTTTTCATTCCTAAGATGGTAAACTGAAACCCTTTTCATATGTAATTCTTAAGACTGTAAACTAAAACCCTTTTCACATGTAATTCCTGAGAGGATAAACTGAAACCCTTTTCTTTTTTTTTTTTTTTTTTTTTTTTTTTTTT